TTGGAGGAAGTTGAAAGGTTAATAGATGCACTCTGAGCAGAGATGAGATCCTACAAGGCGGGGATGGCTGTAGTCCAAGAGTGAACGGGACTACACAGGCTCAGCTGGAGCAGAGCTGCAGCCTGAGCATCTGGCTCAGGAGACCACACTGAGTGAGGGCTGCTCACTCAGTCCAGAAAACGGGAGAAACGTTTGCTGGGCAAGGCCTTTCAGGCCCCTCTGCAGAGACAGACGTTTCCTAGGCTTATCTGCATACCTAGGTGCGGAACGCGTCCACAGCCCGTTGCGCAGTGGAGGACAAGGCACGGAGCGCTAGGAAGCAGATCGTGCTGCGGAGCGAGGGCGGGAGGTTTACCTTGGCAGCCAGTGTCAGCAGGACGGGCAAAAGTCAGTTTCCCCTCAGATGCAGAGGGGATGCCAGCGGGGGCATCCAGGGACTGGGAGGAATTTTGGAGCTGTGGGGCTGGTTTCTCTTTGCCTTCTCCACCCACCTTCAGGCCCTGGCCCTGCCTGGGCACTTGGGGAAGGGGGGGATGATGAGGCAGGAGCCTCGTGGATTGGGGCTTTTTGTTCTGCTGCCCCAGCAGGCTGCAGCTGCTGCTGCTGAGAGGGACAGGCAGCCGGGGCTGCCTGTGGGCCACCCCCCTCACTGGGCTTGGCGAGCTTGAGGCCAGGTCCCTCACTGCCGCTGGGATGGGCAGTCTGTGTTCCCCTCCCTGCGCATCTTTTGTGCTCTTGAAACAGTCCTGAAGTACAGTTGAGGCTTTCGTCTCCATATCTTCGACCCAGAAGCTGGGTGGTCGTATGTGGTTTTGTCCTCTCGTGTTTCCGGGCACCCCTTCTCTGTGCAGCGCTGCTTCTGCATTGATCATCTGCAGTGGTTGGAAGCATTGCTGCAAAAGGGGGATTATCTTTCATTTAAGAAGATGGAAATTCAGCATTTAAATAGGAAAATGTCATGTATTGTTCCTCCTGTTCTCAAAATGGCAGACATTCAATTTTTAAACACAGGGAGAGCACGAGCACCTGTCTTAACATCTTAAAATCCAGTCAGGAAGGTATTTTGAAGACTAGAGTTTAGACTACATCTAGCAAGGGGAAAGAGCTGTCACTCAGCACAGATCAGTTTATAAATACCAGTCTCCAGAAGACAACTGACAATTGTAATGGGGCTAATTCTCTTAGCAGCGTTGGCATAACACCATCAGGGCTGTCTGGCACTGCAAGGATATTTCTTCCATGTAAGAAAACTAATCCTAAGCAAGATGGGTTTAGTGAGAGTTATGTTCTTTAAAGTGCTATTACAGCAAGTAAAACAAGTGGCATCATTTCCAGTGTTTTAAAATAAGCAAGCCTGAAATCAATATGGATTTATTCTCGTCTCTTCCTACAGTCCCCGACAGGGTCTTTACATTTTTTTCTGACAGAGTCTGGAATGGATCTTCATGCAATGCACTTTATACATGGCCCCTGCTGCAACACCGAATGCACACCTGATGACTGTCTAGCTTGAGTGGGTAGCTTCCTGCCCCAAGCAATCCTTGCTGGCTCAGTGGTCATGCCAAATGTCCGCTATGGATCTAGAGCCAACTGGGATGCTAGACTTAAGTGAGATTCTATTTTTCTCTAAATGAGGGTTTAACTTTATTTTTGGTGTAAAAAGTGTTTTCTAGTCATGTTGTTGTTAACTCATGATCTAGGTAATGTTGAAGGGGGGGTGTTTGGTTTGGGTGTGTTTTTTTTGTTTTTTTTTAATATACTCAGTCTTGTTTAGTTAAATAAGGTGTCCAAAGGCTGCATTTAGAGGCTTGGATATTCAGGACTTTAAGGAATGTAGTTTAAAAATCAGGAAATCAAATTTGGGTATAGTGGGAGTTAATTTTGCGGGATCTGTATGAGAAGATAATGATTTTACTAGTGACTTTCCATACCAGAAACAGATACTCTCAAAAGCACT